CAGGAGGCTCCCTTGCTGGGAAGAGGCAAGGAGGAATAGAGGAAAGCAGGCAATCTAGTTCCGTAATCATTTACTCATTGGTTTCTTCCACGACTGAGCTTAGGATCCCCTGTACACTAACGGGAGCCCTGGTGGCGAAGTGGTTAAGCGTTCGGCTGCTAACCAAAAGGTCGACAGTTTGAATCCACCAGTCTCTCCTTAGAAACCTTATGGGCCAGTTCTGCTCTGTCCTATGGGGTCGCTACGGGTTGGAATCAACTTGACAGCAATGGCAATGGGTATGGGTGCACCAAAGTGTCAGGTCCTGGAGCTATGACGGTGACACAGTGAGCGAGGACAAAAGTCACCCTTTGGGGAGCGCAAGTTGGGCATCATAAATCATTTCCCACGCAACGAGCAGAACCATTGATTGTCATCCCCATTTAACAGAGGCGGACAACTGAGGCTCAGGAAAGACAAGCCACCTGCCTAGGGGCCCACAGCAATCACTGTGGGATCCAGGGAGGGGCCACAGACACTTACCTGGGTAGGACAGATGGACTTGCTCCGGGATGGCATCTCCGGGGGCCCCCTGGACTCCCCGGGAGAAGAGGAGGAGCAGACAGCAGCAGGGCCAGCAGGGACAAAGGAGGCCCATGGTAGAGGGGTGTAGGGGGCAGAGGGGAGAAGGGAGGGGTGTGGGGAAGAGCAGATCGGGTCTGGGACAGCAGGAGGGGACTGGGGGATGGAGAATGGAAGGGGTTCAGGTGATGTTGATGTGGTGGGAGATCCTCCAGGGGGACAGTTATCCAGATGCTGGAGAGAGAAAATAAAAATAATCACCGTGGAGCCACGGCGTCTCTGAGTCTCCCTGTGGGCTGAGCGTGTCACATGGATTAACTCCGGGAAGCCTCACAACATTCCTATGTGGGGGATGCTATTCTTATCATTCCCATATCACAGATGAGGCAATTGAGGAACCAGAGATTAAGTTGCACAGCTGGGATATGGAGGAGCCTAATTTAATCCAAGCAGGCCTGGCTCTTAACCATGGTTTACTGTCTCGGGAACAGGTTTGGGGTGGGGGTGGGGGCTCAGGGCCGGAAGATGCAACCCGGCAACCCGGCAACTAGCAATGCCTCTTCTACTTTCTCCCCCAGGTCTTCAGCCTTTCAACCTGCCCTCAGGGACCTCACCATTCCTTCTCCATCCTCCGCTTCAATCTTGGTGTTAGTGACCCCATTCCCCAACTCCATCCCCAGGTCCCCCAGCACCCCATCTTGCATTGCGTGGCCCCATTCCCTGTCCCCAGCATCCCATCTTGCCCTTACTAACCCCGCTCCAGGCCCCAGATCCCCCAGCACACCATCCTGAATTTAGGGACCCCAATCGCCCCCACCCCACCTCCACTTCTCCACCTGCTCTCAGCTAGCCCCCTCTCCCGCACTCTCCAGCCCTCCTCCCGCTCCAGCTCGGCCTTCAGCTCCCGCAGACCTGCGGGACGCAGGCCGCGGGGCCGGGCGCCCGGAGGCCGGGAGCTGGCGCTGGGGCCACCCCGAGGACCCTGCTCACCCTGGTGGCGCCGCTG